TTTAGATGAAAAAACCCGAACTACTTGTATATCAAAACAAAACATTTATAAAATGAAATATTCTCCATTCTTATTGATGATACTTTTCCATCTTACAATCAGGTTGTTAATGCCCTGATTAAAGAAATCACTTGGCTATGACGCAAAAAATATTTCGAAGTCCTCTTTAACACCTTCCACATTTGCATACGTTTTTTCCATTAAGATGGTGCTGCAGCGAACGAAAAAGATGGTAATCCGATGGTGCTATATCCCAACTCCATAATCTTGTGTTGCGTCAAACGTGCATTGTCGGGAAGAAAAACACCTTTCCGATTGATGAGTGTAGGACGTTTCTGATGAAGGGCTTGATTTAAACGTTCCAATTGCTGACTGTAGATCTCTGCATTGACAGTTTGCATTGCATGAATTACTCCTTTGATGTCCCACCAAATGCAAAGCATCACTTTCTGTGGATGGAGTCCAGGTTTTGGGGTTGGAAGTGTTTTTTTTGGCCTAGGACTGAGCCATTGTTTTTGGCGTTTAATATTCGCATAGAAAATCCATTTTTCAACATCGGTGACAATTCTGTCCAAAAATGGTTCACACGCATTACGCGCCAAAAGAGACGAAGCAACGTTCACAACGTTGGAAACGATGATCATCGAAGAATTCGTGAAGCACCCAAACACCTTCTTTATGGAGTTTCCCCATATTCTTTAGATGTTTACGTACTGTTTCATGAGAGATATGCAATTTCAGGGCTATTTCACGAGTGTGTTGCCTTGGGTCAACATGAGGCTTCAGAGCATCAATATCAATTCCAACATGTCGGTCCCTGCATTCATAGTTTTTAAGACTAAAGTTACCTGAACGAAATTTGCTGAACCATCGTTGATACTTACAAACGTTCAAAACATTTCCATAAACTTCTTTATTCTTTGTGGCTGCAGAGGCGTTGTTTTCCTTCTTGTATTCAAACAGCATTACGTGCAGAATGTCTCGTCGTGTGCCATCACTTTAAGGTATTAGAGTATACTAAACTTTACACATTACATAGGCAACACTAACGTACGTTTTTTGGGGGGTGGTTAATGAAAGTTTTCGAAAAAGCAACATTAATTTCTTGACGGCCTAATACTATTTACAATGAATAATGAATGATAGAATTCTGTTTTTTTTTGTTTTTTTTTGCTTTTCGTCTTTACCGTCTCGGTAATGTGAAGAACACTTTTTACTTTGGTATGATATCACCTGGTCCACTATTCAAAACCTGGCTTCAAATAATTGGTTCTTGTAACCTTTGCAATATAAACATAATCACTCTAAAAGAACTAAAATTTTCACAATTGAAAATTATATACCATGGGATTATAGTAAGGGCACGGGAAAGCTTAGGCTTAATAGACTGGAAATGTTTTTTAAATGGTTGAGTAGCTATATCAAAACGATTTTGAATATGAAATCGGAAAGTCACATGACTGCTACAGCCGATATAAAGTCGCGGTAGAATGGCATGTATAAGAAATACATTTTATGTGATATTACTGAAAACTGGTCGTTTTGGGGAAGAATAAGTAACTGCTTGTTCCAATGTAAAATATTTATACACTCATCATAAAGACGTCTTCAGATTGGGTATTTAGAATTTCCAAGACGAAGATATCCTTTGCACTTAATGGCATTGGAAAACAAGGCATACAACTAAACTTGGAGCACCGGAACCATCCAGAAAGAGGTCTGAAACAAGTTGTACCCTAGCTATTGCAAGTAAAGTGCAGTGTCTTGTAACAGGTAAGAATCCTCAAACACAAAAGTCAGTGGCAAAATTCGTTCACTTCCCCCAAGCAACAGTCATAAGATGTTCAGGAAGGTTTTCTATCAGTAAAAGTAACACAAGTCGCGTGTAGACAACTTCCTTCCACGGCATATCAGTTAAACCATTGCAATATCTCAAACAGCTGAAGAGTAGACTGGGTATTGATGTTAATCCATAACAAAACATACTAGTCAAGTCGCTGGACTTAGTGATATTGGAACTAAGAAACTGTCGTCCTCGTACACTAGATCGATTATGGAAAGCTAAGGGGGAGAGAGACAGCCTTTCGTCGCATAATTTTGCAATGGAAACTGTAAAGGGGCGTGATTTCCAGATAGAGCATGACAAGACGTGGCGACGTGGTGAGGCTTCAGAATCGTTTGAATATATAACGTACTCAACCTCTATGGTACTGTAATGAGTGATGTTAATCCATAACAAAACATACTAGTCAAGTCGCTGGACTTAGTGATATTGGAACTAAGAAACTGTCGTCCTCGTACACTAGATCGATTATGGAAAGCTAAGGGGGAGAGAGACAGCCTTTCGTCGCATAATTTTGCAATGGAAACTGTAAAGGGGCGTGATTTCCAGATAGAGCATGACAAGACGTGGCGACGTGGTGAGGCTTCAGAATCGTTTGAATATATAACGTACTCAACCTCTATGGTACTGTAATGAGTAATATAAATATTAGCATTTTCAGTAGAACAAAAATGTAAATTCCTGTACACTGTGTACGTTTACCTGCACCATTGCAGCACGCTCAAGGTAGTACATATTGTCAAAAGCTGAGGCAATGTTATCTGCTACAGTAATGACGCCGTGATTCCCCATAAAAAGAGCATCTTTATTCCCCAAAACATTTCCTAATCGGATTCCTTCCTCCACATCATGAACCAAACCAGAGTAGTCGGTATCGTAGGCCTCACGATTCAGAAAACGAGCCGAGTTCTGATGCACCATTCTTAGAGTTGGCGTTTCCAAACACCCTGAAAATGTACAAAAATGAGTAAAGCTGAAGTTTTCAAAATTCAACTAAAATACGATACATATAATAAAACAATATAAGATGTATTGACAGTTCAGAAAATTGGGTTGTCTTTGCAGAAATTTACTTTGTATGCCGAATAATTAAGTTGCTCTGTGAATCTTTTTTTTTATTATTAGATCAAACAAAAACAACTAATGAACTTATGATGCTTTATATCATATTTTAGATATGGTTAAATTTAGTTTTAATCTAGTTAATAACAGGTTGTAACAATTAAAAATAAAGATGAACCCCACCATTCACTCGATTTGCCACTTGTTAATGAATTATACTGATTTCTTGGAATTTTACCCCTCATCAGTAACCGTAGATAAGGGCAAGCCGAAGAAACAAGACTATGCTTCATAGAGTGGTGGACTGTATGTCATATATATGGTGTTTTTAGTTGTAATTTAATCATCAAAGTGAACATGTGTTTATGTAGGATTTGAAGAGTATGTAACAATGATGCCACTAATTTCTTTTGCTAAATCATTTAGCAGACAAGCTGGATACTATTGTTTGAGAGTTTTTACCTTCTCGACTTTACAAGAAAGACATAAGTATTGAGTAATGCTCTTGTAGTTTTACTATCAAAATCTAGTAATTAGTGGTTTTAAGGAAAGTTCGGTGACTAATGAAATGATGCAAATAGTGTCACGTGATACCTACCAATCAATTACACTACTCACAAGAACTCAAATGCTTGACAACTTTACAAATCAAAAGAACGTCGTGCATACGTTTGTAATATCACCAATGGCTACTGTTTAGTACAGTCACGTGTCAGCTTGTCTACTTTGTTTTGATTTTGTTCTCTGTTAAAAGCAAACTAGATGAGGCTATTGAATGTGTTTATTCTACAACTAATATTCATTAATGGACTAGTGACTTTCACTTTTAGCACTAAATTGTAATCGTACAGTCACAAAACTCAGGCGTATGAAATTGATATGAACAATGGCTTTATTTTCGGAGTTTGTTTCTGGTTATGATTATTGGATTATTCAAATAGTAGCACTATGAAGTAACTACGAGCGAAACAAACCTAAAGCTGTTGCATAAGGTGCGTGAGTATGCAGGATACTTCGGATATTGGGGCAACTTCGGTAAATACCACGATGGATGCAAGCAGCAGACGTCTCAGGAGTTCCCTTTCCTTCTATCACTTCATTATTGGAATTCAGCCCGATAAGACAAGACGGAGTCACCTGCATTAGGATTAAAATATTGTATTAAAATAGATGAGAAGTGTACGTAACAATAAACTTTTATGAGTAGGCCTAACTCTCTAAACGTGCATAAATCCTGAACGTTTAAAAACGTATTAGAAATTTAGCAACTTATTAAACATATAACTTACTCTTTAAAAATGTGATAATCAAGTTTTCAGAACATTACAAAAATGTCGTTTTTACTCCAAATAACAGTAAGGACGAGTCCAAATGGTGAACCTTGTTGTGCCTTTTTTTTTGCCTGTTTTATATAGAGAATTACAAAGGAGTTTTTTTTCATCTTGCAATAGTATCTAAAAATTTAAAGTTGTAACATATACAATTGTTCTTTAAGGTAATCAGGCACATCTTTAATTCGATTGAAAACTTTTTAATACATAATGTTGTTTCAACCGTTCCCTAAACTAGTCATCACTGAGTTCAAGAAAATATGGTACAAATTAGATTTTATACACCTCATGAGATTGTACTCCAGCTTAATAACTGAATGGAAGCTATGAATATGTTTAAAGTTTGTAAGACATTACTCATATGTAATAACACATTAACCACTAAAATGAGTATACAATGGCCAATGGATCGCCAGGTTCAAGGTTCGAGCCGCTATATGTTGTTGAACATACTTTGCACTTTCAGTCACGGAAGCATTATAACCGTAGAGAGTCAGTTTCGCTATTATGTCAAGAGAAGCCTTATAGATGGCGAGTGCTGCTGACTGGTTGCCATCCTTTTTGTAAGAAGTTTGAAATTAGGAATAGTTATGGTTGAACTTAGGAGGTCCATGACCTGCCCGTTTAGCCCATGTGTCAAGATGTTTCTTAAACCTGGGATATCTTCGCCGATAATTACGCCTGTTTTATCGGTAATCTTTGACGGATTATCCCTCGACTTCTCTCCACACCAAATATTTGCTTTCATCGATGAATTCAACTGACCCCACGCCGACTTTACGCACCTTTATAACCCATCTAAATCATTTCCACATGTTATATGTACAACCAAAAAAAGCAACTCTAATCTTTTCTCCGCAATCCTTAGAAGAAGCCTCTAACAATAAACTCCATGCAGTTCAGCGGATCCATTCCAGAACATCCTGCAAGACAACCCAGTTTATAAAATATCGTCACTTCGTCTAAGCAAACCATCGATCATATCCTTACACACGGATACTTCTTTTACTTTTTTCACTTTAAAGCCGAGAAACCTCACCGAAGAAATCTGTCGACAAGCCTCGCCACTTCCTGTACCCACTACTCAACATCAGCCAACCACTCAGGAGCCACCAAGTATGAATTCTCATCTACAAACTAATCTACTCAAACCCAAACAAGCAGGATATCCTCAACCTTAGACCAAGCCACACAGACATAAATTTAGGAAACAGAAGACTCGGCGACCACGACAGACTTTTCCACATTAGCCAGCCCGGCATGGCCAGGTGGTTAGGGCGCTCGGGTTCGAATCTCCGTCACACCAAACATGCTCGCCCTTCAGCCGTGGGGCGTTATAATGTGACAGTCAATCC